CCACTTTTCATCACCAGTTATCAGCTTCTTCAAAAATAGTTCGGTTTCATTACGTTTTTATAAAGAACCACAAATGAGTACACGGTTCATTAGGTTTATTTCAGTGAGCTCATGAGGCACCCAAATATCGAGTTTACTATGTTTCTGGTTCGTTTTTAATTATAATAATATTCTGTTTCGGTATATAGATTGAGGTATAGATTTTCTAATCCTACTCAAAGAAAGCTTCAATTTGATAGATTATCGTTTAAATTAAGTATAACCTTAAATTGACGAAATTAAATTTAATTTGAACTTCGTTATCGAAAGTTCGTTTCGGAGAAAGAGAGTTGACCCCCAGGGCGACCAAAATGACGTGCATCTTTGACATCAAAATTTCCGGATTGAAAACGCTTAAGCCAAATTTGTGCTACTGTCATAGACTTCACTAGGTCCATAAACATTACAATTTTTTTTTCTCGGCTTCCATTGCATTTTTACCTTCTTTGTAGTAAAATTTAAAATGTATCGAATTTATTTAATAGATTCACTCATCTTGACAGTAAGAAAAACAAATAAAAATCACATATTTTCTAATTTAAATTTGGAATTATCTTCTTGAAATTTTAAACTTTTAATGATACCTAAAACCACCCAGGTACAAATGGTTAAGCCAAAAAAATTTTATTACAAGTTCATACATACTATAATGCGAAATGACTTTTCCACCATCCTATTATTATGTGATATGTTGGTTATTGAATAGAACTATTTACTTACGTAGTTACGTATCTTGCAATTGATATTGTGGATCCTGCTTGTTTTTAAACGGTATGCTCAAATAAAGTAGCGAAATAAAGATAAGAAGCTTTCAATAAACTTAAATTAAAAAAACATTAAATAAGTAAAGCAGGTAGTACCTTCTTTTCAATGCTTTCTTTATCTTCCATTTTAATTTTAATATTCGCCCACCGGGTAATTCTGATTTTATAAGCCTGATTTTATAAGTCATTTATCACTTCTAAACTTAAGATTGAGATTTGACTTTGTTGACGGATCCCATTTAATCTTCCCAGTGTCTGATACACGCTTCAGTGAGTAAGATTTTGGAGCCAATTTAGCAATTGACTGGAAGGCAAAACAGAAAGCTAAAATTCCGTAGTCACCAAAAGCTGAATGTTAACTTCGGAATTATTGTGCGTTCATTAGCAAGGAACAAAAGATTTTTGACATTTTTATGAATTCACTCCATAAACATTTTTACAGAAAGTTATATTTTAATGAATTCACTTCAAAAACGTATGACCGTTGCTCTACTTGACTTTAACAAACCTTCACTAGTTTTTCAATAGTCGAACCATTAATCGAAATATTGTTGCGTAGTGAAGATACGAAATAAAACCTTTCCCAAATAGGGATGATGACTAACTTTTTTTTTTGAAGTGCTTCTTTAGCGCCATTTTCATTTGAAACACGATGAAACGAAAAAGCGACAGTACACAAGGTATCCGTAATTATGTAACTCTCTGCAAGAGGCAGATAGCCGAACGGAAGCGATCTTGGGGTCGACACCAAATTAAGTTTTTTAATTGTTTTGATTTTCTTTTAGCTATTATTTATTTTTCGAAAGGTTACACTTCTGTCGTATGTAAACAGCAGATGGACGCTTTTTTCATCTCTCAGGTAGATTATCAAAAAGTGTTGGTAACGTATTTTTTATTTTTTCAAATAATCAAAGTATTACAGAGAAATATTGATTTGAAACGTCACTTGACGTCACATCTTTGTACAATAACTTTTACTTAGATGTGACGTCACGAGCTCCCGCTCTGAAACATTGACGCGCTGTATCTTTGTCTTTTTCTGGTTAATTGACAAAAGAAAAAATTCGAAACCTGAAGAAATTTTTGAAAATTTAACTGATGGACTTAATATAATGTCGCTTAATTTACCCCGTCATCAACCCTATATCTCAAGAAATGTACAGATTTAGATGATATGTCTATAAACTAAATTACACAGGTGCTTAGTTAGGAACAGGAACTTACTCAGAGTCTAAAGAAGGGGCAGGAAAAAGCAAATCTTTCAAGTTTCTATGTTAATTTAGGAACCCAAAATAGGTAGATTAAAGAGAAAAATAATAATTTGCCACAACATCTAATAAGGAAAGATAGGACTTCATAAAATAAGCTGAAGGCTCGGATGAATTTAACGACTTTCTTTAGATTAAGAAGTTACGTACGTTACTTTGGCTGTTCTGGACTAACTCCTGTGAACTGGAAATACTTGAATCAAAAATTATGAGGTGTTTATTTGAATTTTCTGTCCCTCCCTCCCCCCCTGATAAGATGTCGTGAGATTTTATTAAACCCCCTCCCCCATCCCCCTATCTCACGTGAGATTTGACCCCCCCTCTTTCCAACGTAAGATTAGATGAGATTTGACTCGACCCCCTCCCCCCCTTAAACATCTCACGTAATTTATGGACGCCCCCTTATCATGATGGCTTACTACTACTCAAAAAAAAATACAATCGGCGCTTTATCAATTATAGAGAAATTAGCTGTAAAGATTTTTTAAAATTTCATTTGTTTATAGTTAATTCATCTTGTAAAACTGTTATTTTGATGGTTCTTAAATATGACTTTCAGTATGGTAGGTATGATTATGATAACGAGCTCCTTTCGATTCGCAAGTTTTCAAAATTTATGATAATAACAATACTGAAATTGAATTAATAATATTGTATACTTATATTAAACATACTCAAATTAACATTACCCTGAAAAGGTCTATTAAACTAGGTAAAACAAATCTCCCGTGCCCGTAAATGGAGGTAATGGGTTATTGATTCCGCTGCAACGGTGTTATACCTATTTTAAAAGAACAATATATCTGTATTACGCAACTTCAGACCAGAAAAGAAAAATAATGATATCTTGATCCCTGCTCTGTATATTCTTGGTTTTCTCTATTTTGTTTCGAAGCTGTCTGTTGAACTGACTTTGGAATGGAATACGCCAGATGCAACAGAATATGAGATAACTCGGAGCTAACTTGTATATTTTCTGCTCATCCAATCTAACTTATTTAGTACACATTATTATTGTTTTAAGAATTTTTATTTTCTACAATACACTACTCTCTGAAAATATGAAGCTAAGCGCTATGTGTTATAGAAATCAGGAACTATGAAGATGAAGCAATATGCAGACACGAGTTAGTATTAAAATATTTTTTATTCTAAATTGCGTATCAAACTTAGTGCATCGTGGATGGATGGTCAACGTCAAAATCAATTTGAAAACCACCAATGCTGACAGGAGCAATTTAATAAATAGGATTATGAAAGTCAATGCTATCATTTCTTCTGCATGGAGTTCAGACTTACGGGAAACTTAAACTGACACCTAAAACGTACCCTACGTAGTTAGATTCTTTTTCGGATTCACCTGTAAGCTCTTCAGTACTCGTTGGTATAATTTTGTTTAAACTACTGATAAAGAAGAAGGTAAATAGTTTTGCATTACAATAAAACAGATATTATGTGTTGAATAATTCGGTGTATTCAACCAAACCTGTGTGATTGTATAATAGGTAGTAACTTAGCGCGGCTAAATAAATATTCAGAACTAGGTGGAATTTGTTGTAAAGTTGCCATTAAATTTGGATTTATTACCTCTTTAAGAATTCTATCACGCCGGTATTCTATACATTCAGCCCTTTTTCCACAAATTACCTGCATTATTTTTTCCCATATTTTATTGGACTCCGTCATGACCAAAGGCACCTGTTTTTTTAAGGTGGTAACATTGAGGTCTGTCCAATTCACAACATCCTTTATATTGCCTATCAGCAAATCTCTTTGTTCTAACACTGCCTGACATAGCCAAGCTAATAAGTTTTCAGTAGAATAGAGATAATCTTTTGTTATGGAAATGACCACATTCATCATTAATTTTCAGCCCCACAAATCCATGGCTAGCAGCACAAGACTGTAAGGTTTTTTTTCTTTTGTAAATCTAATTCCTTTCCACGCTGGCGTATCAAACAACTGTATTTGTTCTAATTTCCTAAGATGGTCCTTATCTGCAGGAGAAATAACCTTAGTGCTATCGAAACCCAAATGTATGTCGCCTAAAGAAAGGTTAATAGATTGTGTTGGTGGAACACTCAAGAAGGGTGTTTCTGACGGCTGACGGAGAAATGTTTTTAGACAATGTTTCAGACGAATGTATTTAAATTATATGGCAAATGTATAAGGTAATTAGATATAGATGAAACCTGACTAATTAAAGCATCGATACTCGGATCCGATCGCGGCTATCGTTTATATTTTTTCCTAGGATATTTATTCGGAGGCGGGCTAGCGAAACCCTCCTCATTTTTTGAAGATGAGGAGGAAAAGGAAATGTTCTTGCCTTCGCTCGAGCCCGAAGTCTCCTTCTGCTCTCCCTCCGGAGCAGCAGAATTCGACTCCGTTTGCATACGAGTTCGACGCACCTCATCCGATGTGCTCATCGCGTATTTCACAACACACACTACTAAGATTTCATTATAAAACCTTAAATGCTCACTTCCTACGAAGTTTACAACACTGAAAAACTGTGATAACACACTTAAAATTCACTAAATAAAACTTTTTACTTTTAGTGGCAGTTACTTCGCAAAATCATAAAACGCTATGAATTTGAACAGATGTCAAACAACGTATTATCACAAAGATGATAGCGCCCCCTGGTGAGTGAGAAAATAAAACTGTAAGTAAAGTTACACTGTCAGAGTAACTATAGATAACGCAAGACCTTAAACTTGTCAGCAACCGTGGTTTTATTGTGAAATATATAGAAAGAAATAGTATCTTTAAATTTATTGGCTCACATCCGTGTTTTCTGTCTAATGTTATTATTGTAGTAAAATTAACTTCCGGTTAAATTGTTTTTATCTACATTGCCTGTATTATCATGTATTTAGGACGAATAAGCCTTACTTATGTACATAATAAATACTGTATTCCTTAGTCAGCTGGTTAGGGTTGAGCGCTGCTTGCTGTGGGCTTTAGTTGATTGTGCTTTTGTAAATACAGGAGGTGTTTTGTCGGGGCGAAATGTTTCCCCCAGTTTGGTGGTGAATCGCGCAAGCGAATTGTGGTGTTGTGGTGGCTCCTTTGCTCCGTGACTGAGTCGGCGGACTAGCGGAGGGGTTTGACCTAAAGCTTTCATTAAAATAATAATGTTAGGAAATTAAGTTAGTTTATTTACTGAGATCAGCCAAGCGCGCCAGCGTCCCATTTTAATTTTATATATATATATATATATACATAAAGAGGAGTACAGATGTCCCTTAGTTTTAGTTTAAGTAATGATAACCATCGAATGTAATAGTAGTGTATGTAAATAGTCAGATATAACATAAATATTTTTTTTTCTGTATACCTAACTTTTTTTTTTCTCCTCTATCCCCTCGATAGGGGAAGAAAGAAAAGGTCACAGAAGCAGTGAAAACAGGTAAACACTTTACATAGCCCATACAGCCCACAGTGTTGTCTCACTGTTAACTATTTATGCAAATGTAGGTAATTAAGAAAACCCAATGCAATCGCCTATTATTTGCATTTTAAGAAGATGGCCCGTAAAGAGGTTAAACCAAAAAAGTTGAAGAGCAACAACAAAACTTGGTCAATAAATCAATCTAAGCGAAGGAAAAATGGTATTTTTCTGGCCCCATAACTTGACTTGCAAATTGAGAAAAAGCGTTAGGAGAATTCGTAGGCAGGTCCCAAGTCTCTAAAAATGTGCATAGCTAATGTTTCTGAGGCGTAGCCATTTTCCTCCAATTTCAAGTTCATCAAACTGTTTAATTTTACATTGTGCATTGAAGTCTAAGCTCTCTAAACTAGCATATTACGTTAAGTCAAGCATAAAGTCAGGAGGACTCAGAAAATGCAATTACGAACAAAGATATAGCTACGGTAGTTTGTGAGCAATCCCTGTCTTTGCTTTAATTAATGATCAAGTTATTTAAAAGCCACCGATTCAGTTAAACAGTATCAGTGCATCAGAGCTTTGTTTTAAATCTGGGATCGGTATAAAAAGGAAGCACTCTTGAAATCTACTAAAAAACCGGTGACCGGATTAAAAGCTCGGGAAACGAAGACAAACAAATTTTGTTTTAGCTAATCTCCATATACATTTATAGCTCTATTGCTAATCACAAAGTAATTTGTGAGGTACTCCAGGTAATGATAGAAATATTTTCATTTACATAAACGCAAAATACCTCACAGTCGAAAATTTGGTCTTCTCATCTGGATTGCCAAGCAAATACTACCACATTTTTTTACGCTGCTTTAAGGAAATAGTTATTTGTATGCACAATTCATGGAATTTTATTCCTGAGAAATGCAGCCGTCCGGCGACCAACGCCACGCCCTCCAACCCGATCCCGGGCTTATCTGGTCGACGCGCCAAACGGCTAGCCATTTGTTCCGCAACTGTGTTAATTAATTCAATTAATCAATTTTCTTAATAACCGGGCACTGGGCCAATCTCCCCATCATATTCGTGCCCCTGCAGTGTGGACATTAATAGGCTGATGATGATGATCATCATCTTCCACTCGTTCGCAAAACGTGATTGTGTTTATTATGCAAGACTTGTGCCTCATTGGTGGTGACGTTAATAGGCTGGTTGATATTAATCAGTTCATTGTAGGTACATATACCCACAGAGCCGCTATGTCCCTTGATCCATTGGAGCGTAACCTTGTTATCCGTTGCTATGCGCGCCTATGCTAGGTGGAGCGCGACAACGAACCATGCAGAGCTACAACACTCGTTAGGCAATCTAAAGATATTTTTCCTAGCCTGAAACCCAGACTAACTAGAAAACTATTAAACCTTAACCGAAGTGATCTCCGAATAATGCTGGGCACCATAGCAGGGCACTGCCTACTTAACAAGCATTTCCATAGGTCGCTGGTTTAGATCCGGCTCGAAGGACCAAATTTATGATAAAGGGGGAGAAGAGAAAGTCTTATATTACTATAAAAGTGATATATTACTGATAACAAACTGATAATTACGAAACTAAAATGATATGACTGTGAGAACGCGTGGTACGAATAATGACCGATGACGAACTGATTCATAATTAACCTAAATAAATGCATGTGGCGTAAAATGCCGACGGGGCAAAATGTACGCGCTTGCTCGTACACTTACCATACATGCTACAGAAAGCTCTCTGTGACGAAGCAGACGAAACGGCCGCTCTGGGGTCGTGGAATGCATGAACGTGGTAGAACACCTCTTAGAGGCCTGTGGGAGTCCCAGGAGACTACTACGCTTCTGGAAGGAGCTGGGCTGGCTGCGCTAGCTAGCCCAACATACCCTGCAAGCACAATAAACCAAGTCAAGGTCTACGTGAGGAAACGTGAGCCCACAACAATTAATGAGTGAGTAGGTACATATATTTTCAAGAGAATAAAACTAACACATTTTAACAAGATGTCAAAAAATCGTATCGATGCTCGTCGCCTTTGTAGCCCCGCAATAAACGCTTTAATTAGCTAGTGTTTGATTGCTCATTCCATCAGCAGAACGTTACGACCACTTGATGTCCAATTAGGATGCGACGCGGTTTGCCTTTTGATTCACGTCCCGTAAATGACCTATAACCAAATCCACATGCGAACGAATCTGTCGGCATTCTGTCGCAAATTAATCGGTGACTCGTATTTTATTACACTGATTAATAATGTTTGCTGAGTCATGATTTGTATTCAAGAAAGTTCATCCCTTCGATAGTAAAAGCCTTTAATTGGCTACCTTTACTGAACTATCAATGGTCATATATAGTAATCTCTTAATTTAATCTAGATAAAGAGATAGATCCAGATGAAGTGATGTTTTTGTGATGCACACTAACATATTAATATTTTTAGCACCTAATCTGGGGGCACGGCAGTGCCCCCGCCAAGTCGAGCGCGAAGCAAACACTGCCGTACCATCCTTTACTGGAACCATTTCGCCGCATTTTCAGGCCCCTATTTGAGAACCTCTGAATAAGACCAGAATGCTGAAATTTTCTTCATCCAGTAAGCTATAATAACATACTTAAAATCCAAAATTTCGAGTCTGTAGGTCATTTAGTTCCGAAGTTAAGCGAAAGCAAAGTTTCGCATTTACGACACTCACTCACTCATGATCATCAGAATAGAACTAGTACTTCCCATTAACTCAGAAAGCTGAAATTTGGTACAGAGTTAGGGTTTAATGGCCACATAAAGGGACAACTATAAAAACTAGGATAATTGAAGATCTGGAGTACCTGGTGACCCTGATTAGAAAACACAAGAGCCCAACCAAACTATTAGGAGTGATCGACATACCGCCTTTACAAAAAATATTCAGCTTGGTGGGCCGGTTCATTTGATGTCAAAAATCGAAGGTCTGAAGTATCTGATGAGGAACCCTCAGCTGGTCTCAGTTGTATTAGAGGTATGGTAATGCCCTCTTCTACTATTGGTATACAAAAAAATCGACTGTCCCAAAATCCAGCGTGGTGGTACAAATCTTTTAATTTAATCTAGCCTATAGCGTCCCACTGCTGGGCGAATGCCTCCCCTTCTACTTTTAATGCGCATGTAAATAAAATTAAAAGAAAACTCAGCATAACACTAGACTGGCTATTATACTTATACTTACGAGTTTACAAGAAACAATAGTCGAACGATTAACTTTATTCTACTCGAACATTACACAAATTAAATAAAAAAATTACACTAAAATATTATTTGTTTCTTAGGTTTTCACGCACATCACTCATTAAATAAAACTAGTTTTTACGGGTTAATGCACGAAACTTTATTTATTTATTGACGTTTCGTAGCCTTTACAGGCTACGTCGTCAGAATCAACCTTTTATTTAGAGTGCGCGCCAGATAAGTCTGCGCGCGGCCAAAATCGGAACTAATCGCAAGCCGCCATGTTGTCGTTACGTCAGGTGTTGTGAGTGTGTTTTCAGTGGTCAAATTTGGTAACCATCATGCCAAAAGTAATTAAAAGTGCTGGCAGAGAGATTGTTTTGAACGTGAAACGTTCTTGTCAAGCAGAACGGGACATTAAGGGACCAATTGTACCATTTTCTAAAGTACGCGCACGGACTGCTTTCTTGACAGGTAATTTTCGGGGTGACCATTGCATAGTATTTTGCTTTCGTGTAGGGTAATTTCTGTTTTTTTAAGTATGTCGGATAATCAAAATATATTTATTCGTTTCAGGTATTTCTGAACGGACTGTCACTCATATAACTCGAGAAAGTACTATAGCTGAAGCTTCGAATTCAAAAATTATAACTCCAGGAAAAAATAGGGAGCGAAAGAGTTTTTTGGAAATAGACGATTTTGACAAGTGTGCTATAAGGCACATGATGCAATATTTTTTTGTCGTCAAAAAGGAAACTCCGACCATTCATAAGCTTTGGCTCGCGCTGAAATCAGATATTGATTTTAAATACAGCAAAACAACTTTAAGGCGTGTTTTGAGAAGCATGGGGTACAAGTATAAAAAGTGCCAGTCCAAACGCAAAGTCTTAATGGAACGTTATGATATTGCAGCTTGGGGAGCCAAATTCATTTTGAGGATGCGTAAAAACCGTTTGGAAGAAAAGCGTCCTGTCATATATCTCGATGAAACGATATATGTTTCATACCACGCTTCCTACCACGTTCAAAATTGTTGGCAATTCAAATGAAGAAACAGGTGTTTTGACTTCGGATAGTGCCGGCACAAGATGGATTATAGCTTACGCTGGCGGAAAAACAGGATTTGTCAAAAATGGGCTACTGCTATTTAAATCCCAATCAAAATCAAGCGACTATCATGACGACATGCTAAGAATTTCATTGAATGGATGACTGAAAAAATCATTCTGAACTTGCCACGTAATTGCATCGTGGTAATGGATAATGCATCATATCATTGCACACAAATAAATAAAGTAGGTACTTTGTAGGTACAATGAGCAATTTAAAAGCAGAAATGCAAGAATGGCTATTAAATAATAGTATTCCGTTTGAAGATTACTGGACGAAACCACAGTTGTACGAATTAATAAAAAAAAAGCAAAGGAGATCCAGTATATGAAGTCGAATATTTATTAAATCAACATGGACATGAGGTCGTGCACTTACCTCCATATCACTGCG